GTCTGTGTCTGTGTCTGTGTCTGTGTCTGTCTGTGTCTGTGTCTGCGTCTGCGTTTTTGTGTTTTGTGTGTGTTTTGTGTGTGTGCATAACGTACATACGCATTTCACAAATGCACGCAAGCACTCTGGTCCTAATGCACGCAAGCACTTTGGTCCTTCAACTACATAGGATTTAGCACTTTGTTTTTATTTTCTTGTACTTCTCCGCACTATTGTTCGCACTGTCCACATACGGAGTGCATTGTTGATCGAGAGTCGAGCACCTCATTACAATAACGGAGACTTCTTACCTCCTGAGTAGCTTAGAGAGTACATCTTGATTCATAACCACTAGTATAAAGTTCATCTACAGTGTACATCCTACTGCAGCATTTGTGTATATCAATATGTAGCAAGATGAGTTTTATGACAATATTCGCATTGAATCGTGTCTTTCACAGCTTGGGAGAGCTAACTTGAATCATATCAACATATTTCGATTTGAAAAATACAGTGAGGTGCACGAGAAGTGCAAAGATCTGGCTTATAAACAGACATGTTCAGATACACTCAACGTGCATGATGTGGTGCCTTTCCGTGTGGAGACTCCGATGTCGTGCTGTGGCCGGTGCAATGTAAGTGCTATCAACGTATTCTCCTTCCGGCTGGTTATTTGTTACCTCATAAACGGGAACGCTGTACTTTTCGGCCGAATAAACAGGCCAGTGGTCTCATTTTGTTTGCAACCACCCAAATACTGAAACAGGTGCTGATGAAGGCAGGGTATAATGGTTACCAGTGCAGTGTATGTGGCATTGTATGCCACATATCGTGCTCCAAGTCATTGCCCGAGGTGTGTTCAGGTAAGCTTCGATATATCTTTTCTCAACCGATATGCCAGTCCATTTTAAGAGCCAATTAATTACGGATTGGCTTTTTCGTTGGAGTATGGCATAGTAGTAATATGTCAAATACCTGCCCCCCTCAATATCTGTACAAATCACAGTTCGATATCCTCAAGGTCCAAAAGGGCCGCAGCGCAAAGAGATGTCATACCTAGACTTCATGACCGACCCGAAACCTGCACAACCCAACATTGGATCTGGCGTGGATGCTTCAGAGCTACCGGAAGAACCAATTGATAATCCCTTAGTGCCTGTAGCGGGTGGCAAAACTCCGGATTTTACTTTTTATAATTCTCAGGAAGGTAATATATTTTGGATGCCTGTGCACACAGTGTTATCGATGTATCGATTGTCTAAGATGTTTTGATCGGCTACGCTTTTGCAGCATAGTGGAATGCTAACACCCAGTAGTATGTATAGGAAACTGATCCTTTGTTGATGTTCTCCGTTTAGTTTTGGTTCCGTTGCCCGAGAAAACACAAACCGTCACGCCTCGGGGGCTACCGCCCAAATCCTCTCGACCTCACGGCGCAGTAGCCTATAACCAATCCGATATGGACAGTGAGTCGATCCTAAACGAGAACGATCAAGAATCTATTATCAGCGGCCTTAATGACCTTGGGGGTGAAAGAGACTCGTTCATCAGTCACGGTGACTTCACACGTAGCCCAACGTCGACTACGCATATTGAGGACGCTGATGGAGATGCCGTTATGAGGAGAAGTACCAGTCAGACTTTTGAAGCCCCACCAATAGCTAGGCCGCCGAAACGGCGAAACATCGCGAAGGTCAAAAAGGTTATTGTGAAACGCTTGTCGCCCAGCACACCACCTTCCTCTCCGCACGATGCACCGCCTTTAAGAAATATACAAATCAAGGAATCCCCACTGAAAACACTTGACACAAAGGAGGAGGGGGAGGACACTTCGCCTCCACCCCCGCCTAGGAAACCGAGGAGATCCCCACTGAAAGCACTTGACACAAAGGTGCAGGAGGAGAACACTTCACCGCCACCCCCGCCCAGGAAACCGAGGAGAACGGTGGCGGACCCAAATGTTGCTTCGCTCGAGAACGGGTTTGAACATATGGAAATAGCCGAAGTGTACACGACGAAGAGTACTCGGCATTCTAATTATAGTAGTCTAGAGAGCTCACGGACACCGTCTCCGGCGAGTGCGAGATATAGTTGGGACACGAACCTATCACCAATTGTATTGGATAACGGTTCGGGCCGAGTCAAGGCGGGCTTCGCTGATGAAGAGCTTCCGTCGTGTATATTTCCGGCAGTGGTTGGTCGAATCAAGCATCGGCGGCACTTACAGTCAGATTTGATTGCAAATACGAAGGATGTGTATGTTGGAAACCACGCCCAGGCGAAGCGTGGTATATTATCGCTGAGTTATCCTATAGAACACGGGGTCATAACGAGTTGGGAGGATATCGAGCTCATCTGGGAGGCCACCTTCAACGATGAGCTTCGTGTAGACCCTTCAGAACGCCCAGTGCTATTGACAGAAGCCCCATATAATCCAGTAGCCAATAAGCACACCATGGCCCAAATAATGTTCGAAACCTTCCAGGTCCCGGCCACCTTTATCGCGATTCAGGCCGTCCTTTCAATGTATTCCACCGGTAAACTAACCGGAATAGTTTTAGATTCCGGCGACGGGGTGACCCACGCCTGTCCAATGTATAAGGTGCGTCGCTTCGTAAGATTGAGTCTCGTTTTGGTACATTGTTCGAGTATGGGATCATTGGACGCAGTAACCATGGTGGCATTTTCTTCTACTCCACTCACCATCCTCGTATTATTTATCTGTAACAGGGGTATTTACTACCGCATAGTGTGCTGAGAATGAATCTTGCCGGGCGCGACTTAACAGAGTACATGATGGATCTTCTGACGGAGAGGGGGTGAGTTCGGATGGTCTTTAAAGGCGGCTACCATGCTTTGCGTCTGGAGTATTTGGAACTTCTATTATTTTCTCATGATCGTTCTTTGGGCCGGATTCAAACGTTTTGTCAATTGGAGAGTATTATGCTAAAGTTGTAAATTGTTTGGCAAACATTACTGAAGTGGTTTGGTGATATATCCGCTCTTGACTTTAAACTTGCATTGTGATCAGGTATTTCTTCACCACAACGGCGGAGAGGGAAATTGTCCGCGATATCAAGGAGAAATGCTGTTACGTGGTAAGTTCTAATATTTTCTCGAAGTTGAGATGCATTTTTATTGATATCGCTCCCACTATGCGCACTCGTAGTATGTACAAAATTTCATGAAAAAGCAATTCGATATCGATAATTTCCCCTTCTCCATAGGCGTATAACTTCGATGACGAGTTGGTCGCGGATAAAGAAAGCGGAAGTGTGGAAGAATACACACTGCCTGATGGACAGGTCTGTTGATTCTCTCGCAGAATGAATTGTTGTTGTTAGTGCTATATACGTGTACAAGCACTTGTAGTATAAACCTTTGCACCTGTCCTGACTAACCCTTATTTTAACGACTCCTGTGCAGGTCATCGGGATTGGCTCAGAATGTTTCCGTTGCCCTGAAGCGTTATTCCAGCCTTCCTTACTAGGTTTAGAAATGCAGGGCATGCACGGATTAGTCAACAGTTCTATTTTCAGATCGGACGTGAGCATTCGAGCGTAAGTTGTGCATATCTCGGACTTCCTCAGAAAGTGCCACTCATTTGAATTTCTGCAGACACGCGCTTTAGACTTCATGCCTGTCCTCACTTGTGAATTGTCATTTGGTTTCACGTCCACGCTATTTAAGATGTCACTTGGTTTTACATTTCTTGACGGTCGTGTATTGCAGAGAACTATTCGGCAACATAGTTTTGTCCGGGGGCACAACTACGATTCTGGGATTGGCGGACAGGCTGCACATGGAAGTCAGGTATGTTTGTATTCCTTTCATATGTATATAGGTATGTCTATACATACATTCATATATATATATATATATATATATATATATATATATATATATATATATATATATATATATATATATATATATATATATATATATATATATATATATATATATATTACTTC